TATGTAAAGGTGCAAATTCCCAGTGATGAATGTCACTATATCGTACACCTAAAATGCACCAATAAACTTAATTAAACAAAGAAACAACAGCAACAGCGAATACCCCAGCCAGCAGTGGAGGACGACGGTGAGGCTGTGTAGGGCCTCAAATGGTACAGAAGACAGGTTGTGGTTCCTCCAACGGCGAGGGCTGCAATTATGTATGACCAGCAACTCTACTCCTAGGGGAAAGAGGTGAAACAAGGCATCCAAACACAAGCTTGTATACAATATTTAAAGCAGCAGCAGCCCTAATAATAGCTAAATGTGTGGCAAGTCAGGAAGGATAGTTACAAATGCCACAACACGGATGAACCTCCAGAGCGTGCTAAGCCCAAGAAGCCGGACACAAAAGGCCACACATTCTATGATGTCGTTTACAGGAAATGTCCCACATAGGGAAGAACTGCCCAAGTCAATCTCTTCATACAGGTGGCGCAGTTTATTTCTTCAGTGAAGGAGACCTGGGGCGAGGGTCACTGGTTAAGAAGGCGTCGAGCAGTCCCAGCGGAGAACAAGCTTGCCGAGGCTGTGGGCAAAGGCTGAGAGGCTTTGACACTGTGTTTCTAACAGTAAAGGCAAGAAACAGAACCCTGCAGTTGATAACAGGCTGCAGCCTCAGGTGTAGACATTTAACACGCCTAGTTTCTTGAGGGGTCTCGTGTTGTCACTTGGTGCCTAACAGAAGACTAAACGTGACACACTTTTATTTCATCTTTTCACTCAAAATCAATACAGTTGTGCCTCGGTTCACAAACTTAGTTAGTGGGTCCAGGGTTCTGGAAAAGTTGGCCACATTTGTGTTTGTGTGGAAAAGACAGCGACGGTCGCATCTGTCATTGATGCAGAGTTTTGAAGAAGAAAAATTTTTTGCCAAATGCTTCCATTTTCGAACCAAATTGTTCACAAGCAAAAGTGTTCGTGAACTGAAGTACACTGTACTTGCATAAGGTATAAACAGACTTCATGATTCACACTAAATATGAACTGCGCAGGCATTATGCCCCAAGAGTTTTCTAATACGTACTCTTTGCATCAATGTGATGGCGTTTAATTTACGAAATAAGACATGGGAATGTGATAAAGAACTTAGCGCAGTGCCTGAGGTTGGGGAGAGACCCGCGTTAAGATTGTACCCTACCTGCTCCTAACCCGTCCATCTTACACACACTTTTCTACTTCTCTGGGGAGAGACTTGTAAGAATGAGTTCCCCAAATGAGCATAAATTTGAAAGAAAGCTTACAATTTGGACATATTTCTGCCAGTGAGATGCAGGAATTCTACCTTGTCTGTGTTTAAAACTAGAAACCCGTGAGGAATGAGATCTCTCTCCTGCGGGAAAGGAGTAAGAGGCAGGAAAAAGGAAAAGAGGAGAGGAGAAGGGAAGAGTGAAGAGACAGAAAGAAGAACCAGGAAGATGGTGGAAGGACAGGGAGAGAGAAAGCAAAGAAAAGAAAAACTAAGGGAAGAAGAAGAGGAGGAATACGGAGGATGAGGAAAAGATCAAAAAGGCAAAAGTGGAAGCATCAAAACTGGGTTAACAGGGCCGGGGATTTAGCTCAGTGGTTCCGCTGCCTGCCTCGCAACACAAGGTCCCAAGTTTGATCTCTGGTACAAAAAACCCCAGGGTGAACAAAGCGCCTCAGCGGAAACTGCAGTAGGTGCAGTTTTAGGGCCAACATGAGTTTCCAGAGCTTAGGCCTCCTGCGCTGGAGCAACACGGAGCAGCACCCCTGGAATGGCCCAGTGGGCGGTGTCTAGACATCGGGCACGCACTGGGTGCCAGCCCTGCATGGCCCTCTGGGGCAGAGGGGACGAGGCAGCCACACTGGGCTCACAGGGAGCTTGCAGAGCACTGGCCAAAGAGCAGCACTGCAGTCTGGAGGGACACGGAGGGCTCCCGGAGGAAGGGGCTTTTAGCCAGATGTGAAAATAAGCAGGCAGCACGGGGTGCCAAGAACTACAATGGTGCAATGGGGAGAGAAGGCTCCACGCTTCGCAGAGAGAGTGGTGTGGATGGAGGCCCGGCAGGAGTGGCCAGATGCGTTAGGGGAACTAAAGGTCAGTGCAGCGTCAGGTGTGCCGACCCGGGGGCGGCCACCAAAGCAGGGTTTAAAGTGAGGCAGAGGACCCACGACGGGCAAGGACGGCCCGGCCCGGAAAGCAGACTGGGCAGGGGGAGGGAGCGGGACCAGGCGAGTCCAAGCGCGATGTCACAGGGCGGGGGCAAAGCCAGATGCAGTGAGGGTGGGAGAGACCCTCAAGCTCTTCAGGGCAGGGAATCCAAACTGCAGGACGAACCGTGGGAAGAGCGGCCAAGGATGACCAAGGGGGGCGCCTGGGTTTCTGCCCAGAACCTGCAGGCAAAGACAGAGGAGGACAGATGTCATTCAGGAGACTGAAAATGTGAAAAGAAGGGTAAACTGGAGGGGGAAAACAGTGAGTATGGCTTTGGGCACAATGAGTTTGAGAAGCAGGAAGGCATCCGAGAGCAGACATGGGCAGGGCGTGCGGACGTAAGCTGGGTCGGCAGCGGGGTGGCAGGAGGGGGTGGCAGCTCTGCAGGAGGACACAGGAAGCAGGGGAGGGCGCGCTCCAGCCGGCCCCCGAGGAACAGGCGGAAGGCAGGGGCAGGCAGAGGGACCGGAAGCCTCAGGATGACAGAGAACACCGGGATGTTATGCAGAACCCAGGCCTGGTGAAGAGCGGGCATGGAGTCAAGAGGGCAGAGGCAGCTGACAGCACACAGGGCTGAAGCAAACTCAAGGCAAGGCCCACAAAGCAGGTCTGCTGGGTTTGGAGTCGGCTCATGAAGTAACAGTGGAAGCACCAAGTGAAGTTCTCACAGAGGGCTGGAGATCACAGGGGCAATGGGAAGCACGGGGCCAAATCTCAGATCAGCACAGAAACACGCACATGTCGGTTCCTCAGCTTACTGGCAAGATTACCTTGTCGGCTACGAACTGCACGGTGCCTTTTTATAAAGGAACAGCGTAATGGAAGTTTGCGGTCAGCTTTAACTATCCCCTGGTTAACACAGGAGAGAGAAAGGCCGAGTAAAGATCCCTGAGAGACAGGAAGTGCAGGACACAGTGCAGGGCCTGCAGGTGACGCGCTCTGTGGGAGGGAGGTGCAGACTCCACTGGGAGTGGGTGAAGCAGGAAGGGCGCTGTCCCAGGAAACAGGACGCCAGAGTCAGAGCAGCGGATGACGGAAGGTGGGCCGAGGATGTGCAGAACTGAGGGGCGACCCTGCAGGGCTGGTGGGACTTGCTGCTGCCGGCTGGGAGCAGGCACAGAAAGGAAAAACACACCAGTTGGCTTCCATCAGCAGTGAAGTTTCTGTCCGGACAATGGCATGGAAGCTAAGACACGGACTGCAGACTTCCTAAAAAGGATCACAGTGCAAATATTCTAGGCTCTCATGGCCTCCTGAACTGTGTTGTTGCAGTGTAGACAGCACAGACAGACGTGTGCATGAATGGGCTGTTCTTTATGAAATCGGGCAGTGGGCTCGGGTTAACAAGCCCCGGCTTGAGAGAGGGAGGTACCAACAGAGACTGAGTAGCAGAGGGATCCACAGTCTCAACTCTGAAGAGAGCTCGAGGCTAAGACGGAAGTTCAGGCCATGCAGAAAGCCAAACCCGAGTTCAGGCTAACACAGTCTATAAAACAAACCTTTGAGCCAATTTCGCAAACATCAATAGGGTCATTGTCCCCGCAGCAGCCTGTGTCCTTGTCTTTGTGATGAGGATCTTCCCAGGTCTAAAAGAAATTTAAAAAAAGAGTTAGAAATGTAGGTTAATAGGCACTGGAATGCATCATGATCTTTCCACACGATCACCGAGTTTTATAGATGGCTAGAACCAAAGCGAGGATTCTCAGAAATCAGCCGGCCTCAAGGCCCACACAGCAGGATGTCCCAGGCACCCACTGGGTGAGAGGGCCGATCTGCAGGGCTTCCTCCCTCCTATCCCTGTCTGTCCCCGTGATCCCATCTCCAAGTGGGAGGTGCTTCCTGGTCAGTGTCTGCTCTGGCTCACTCTCAGCTCTCAGTGTAGAGGCTGCCCCTGTCCCTGCCCTGGTTTCCGGGCTTCCACTACAGCCTGGCCTGTGCCCACTGTCATGCGAGGGTTCCTCTGACAGCTCGGGCCAATCTTTCTGTCTGTAAGGGAACATCTTGTCTTCTAAGGGGTGTCTGCAAGTAGACACCGTTTTTCCTTCTTAAGCTAAACCGCAGGACATTGTACAGCACGGAAAAGAACACATTCTTGCTCATTTCAGTCCATTAAAAAAAAAAAAACTTTCTATCTTTGCCATCAAATCTCAAGATCTTGACAAAAACACGAAAAGATGTCACCTCCTCAGTTTCTTAGCAAGATTATCCCATCAGCTACGAAATGCACGTTGCATATTTATAAAGAAATAGCACAATGGAAGTTTGCTGTCAGGTTTAAATATCCCAGGCCAGTGAGGGTAAACCTGTCAGAGCTTTCAAGGATACAAACACCCCGCTGCAGCAGCATGCCACAGGTTCTACCCCATTCCAAAAGCTCCTGACTCGAACTTCAGAAGATTCCTAAAGCTATGTGTCATGAATTTACATCATAAGAGATGCAAAAACTGCATCATCTCAACATTCAGTTGATCACTATTACCTTGCATTTAGGATCATCCAAGTTTAGTTTGTCTAATTTTATACATATAATTAAAAATGAACACAAATGCCAATATTTCCCTTCTAGTCCTAATTATAGTACGGCTATGAATGAACTCATCCATTTTTTTTTTTTTGGTACTGGGGATTGAACTTAGGACCTTGCGCTGCTGAGGCAGGCGCTGCTCCAGAGCTAAATTCCCAGCCCTGAACTCATCCAGTTTTTAAAATATCAGGTTCCATAAGCTTTTATTACCCCAAATACTAATGCTGCTAATAAAATATGAGTGACCATAATTGTTGACCTTGCACACCGGTTATGGGTGAGAGTCACTCCCTAAATGATGCACACACATTATACACACTCTGTGAGTATTCCACAGTAAACACCCATAAAATGAAACACAGAGTTCAGTATGTTCACGAAGGGGCCATAATTTGTGTGTCTCGCTTCCAGGTGGCTCCAATTTGTATCCCTTTGTTCTCACCAGCTTGAACCACCGGTGGTACAGGCAGGACTGTCCCACCAGGCGGCTGGGACCACTTTTCAGGATCTTGGATGACAATAATGCAAAGAAAGGCACTGATTTAGCAGATCAGAGGTCATCACGTTACAGTTCCTTAAGGAAAACATTAGAATCGTATAAAAAACCTGTAGGACAGCTAATTTGTGGTGCAGCAGCTGTAAATGCATATTATAGATACCAGCAATGGGGTACCTGTGAGATTTCCATGTTAAAATGCAGAGAATTAATTACAAACTATTAACCCGTGAAGAAATCCCCCAGGCAAAAATTACTTGAAAAAAAACCCCTTCACTTTATAGAAGCTTATTTAGAACTGGCAAGAAGTACACACAAGTGATGTAGAGAATATTATAAAAAATTCTATGGCCACAAAAGAAAGGCCGAATGTGTTATGATCTTTGGTGCACTCAGTGCAAATCAGCTGCTTTTATGTATAAAATGTTTTAAAGAAACTCACAAATACACATTTATTTTAATGAAATCGATGCATTTGTTGATTATTGTAATAATTTTTAATTGGTATGAGTAACATTAATTGATATTTATATTTGGGCAGTACATTTTCAAATTCAAGCAACTAACCGGATTTGGGACACTTTACAGACTTTTCATTATGCAGAAGTCACAGGATGGGACGGCTGTGCACGTGATGGGGCCTCAGGCCCGTGGGAATGTGCTCACCGTGCCCAAGTTTATAGTTTGAAATGGTAGAGATGGGATTAGAACCCATGTTGCTAGTCATTATTTCGGACGTCCAAATTTGGCTAACAATGGCGAATGTCATTTTGCGGTCCGCTCCCCTCCATTATCTTTCTTGGTCCCTGAGTCCCCTGGTCAGCATGCGTGCTCCTGCAGACCCTCCTTCCCGAGTGTCCCTTTACTTCCGCTTTCTTCCCATCACCCACTGCCTGGCATCCACTCCCACAGTGCGCTGTCCACCAGGGCACAGGTCACAGCCGGTACCCGGAGGCCACGGCGGTCAGTGGCGCGGCTCTGCGAGCCAGGGCTGCAGTCACCTTAAGGTCCTGGGACAACAGCGTGAGATCGGGATTACTGCTCAGAAAGCCAGGCCATCCGAGGCTCACGGGCCCCCAACAGCACCCCTACTCCCAGAGAGGAAAATGCGGCCCCCTAGAACTCACACCCGGCTTTATGAAGTTTTCTAGCCCCACCTGAGCCACAAACTACTGTGACGAAATCACCCAGACTTCAGAGTCATCAGCTATGAAAAGAACGGCTCGACTAAGACAAGCTTCAGATGCACTCCCTCCCTGGACCTCTGGGGTTGTCAGTTCTCACTTGCAGTCGGCACAATCGATCACTTCCAGAACAGGAAGCTTGGAAACCCAGGAGCTAATTTAGCCCAGTGATCGCTGTTCATTTTAAGAAAGTCTTTCCTTACACTGAGACAAAACCTGTCTTCCTGTAACTCGTACTCAATTCGGTTTTGGTGGGTGTATTTGTAGGTTTGCTTGGGGTTTATGCCCCCAGAGCTCTACTTTCAATACTATCTATCAACTTAGTTCCCACTGCTGAAGTAGTATGTATACGACTGCAAGTTCTTCAGCTATATATTTTATTTATAAGGCCATTTCAAGATTTTCTGTACCAGCAAAAATATCAGACTAATTCTTTCTGCTACCTGTGCCTCTCCTACATCTACAGGCTTTAGTGTTACTGCAATAAGAGGTATACACTAAGTGACCTCAAATTCAACTTGAAAATATAGAATAACTTTCATATGACAGGAAATCGTAACCAATTTAAAACTTTGAGAGCACGCCCTCTTGTGGAAGCTCAGGTATATAACTAGGCAGAGCAACAACTAGAAAAGTAGTACATCAAAGAGGGGAAAGTTCAACACCTAAATATATGTTTTTGCAAAGTGAGAAGCACTTAACATCTAGAATATAGAAATAACTTCTACAACTTAGTATGAAAACGGGCAAACCGGTGAAAATGGGCTGAAGACATGAACCGGTAACTCAAAGAAAAAGAAAGATGAGTAACTTTCAAATGTATAAAAGATACTGATCAGAGAAACAAATTAAACCACAATGCAACAGTTTCAACAATTTTTTTTAAAAAATCTGACAATCCCAAATACTAGGCAGGAAGTAGGGCATTTGGAACCATACATATTGCTGGTAGGAGTGTAAACTGTTACAACTTCTTTTGGTAAACAATTCGGGAATACTTACTAAAATATGCACACAGCTCACAATTTGACTGGTAAGTGTGTACCTACATATGCAGAAAAAGTTTAGCAAGGACCCAGGAAAGGCATTAACAAAAAGTATGAACAACCTATAAATAGAAAAATAACAACAGGGGCTGATCAAAAATACGATGTGTTCAAATTTTTAAAAAACTTACAATAAAAGACCTATTGCCATTATTAACCCTAAAGTCTTTCCCCACACTTTGAACACACTCATCCCATCGTCCTTGCCAAGTTCATCAGCAGCTCTGGAGGTCTCTTTCCTGAGTGCCTTTATGAGTTGTGATCAAAAAATACAGTGAATGCCGCTGCTGAGCACCATCCAACTGAAAGACAGCTCGTAAACACATGATGCTGTGTCTGCATCCACCTCAGTCACCAGATCTGGCACCATGTGACTGCTGGTTCTTCCCAAAGTCAAAATAACCTTGAAAGTGAGACATTCTGAATCAACTGAGGACAGGACAGCACAACTAAAGACACTCAGGAAAAAGGGCTTCCAGATCTGCTTCAGAAAGTGGCAGGAACCCTGAGATAAATGTCCAAAACAAGGGGTAGGATTTTGAGGATGCACGGAAATGTGTCTTTTACTGTGAAACATTTTTTTAAAAAAATCATAAACATCTACCATATTATTCAATCATACCTAGGCTAAGGGTCTGTCTTTCCTACACAGTGCAAGTTCCACAAAAGCAGAGGCTTTGTTCTGCACACATACATCCTACAAACTTGAAATAGTAAATGCTGAACCAATTTTAAATTAGCAAAAATGAGAAAGTATGTCTAAATATAGAAGGCTTGCCAACCAAAGTCACTGTTTGAAGTGAAAAGGGATTAGTGTGTCTTTTACTATAATACATATTTTTGAAAGATTTCTGGGATATTCTCCGTAATTTTGATCATACTGCTGTCATACAGATGACTACACACCTACAAAAATGAAGCAATCTGAATCCACCCTTATTGATCTAGCCTAAAACAAACCTCACTCATCTCTGTCTAAGAGTTGGAGATTATCACCTTATAATCTACACTATAATCACCATGCTCTGGCCCTTGGGGCTCTGAAAATCACTGACCGGTACGAAGCTGTCCACACAGTGGTTCCTTCTTAACTGATGAGGGTGTGAGCGCTGCTCCACTGCCAGCTGCACTTCGCTGCCAGTCCCCGCACTGTGCCGCCCACGTCTTCCAGCCAGAGCCACCTGAGACCAAGACCCAGTCTGGACCCCCCAGGACCTGGCCCAGCTACACTCTGACCTTCTCTTGACCTTCTCCTTCCTTACCCCCAAGTGGCTGTTGGGGAGGGGCGAGACCACCCCAGTACCTGTCTCAAACTAATAAACGACACCACAACCCATTTGGGGCCAATGAACCAAACTTATAACGAACACATCAATATCCCAGTAAGACTGAAGAAACTTTGAATCTAAGTGCATTAGTCCTTCAATATTATCCAGACATACACTCTACACATTCACTCGGAGACATAACGCTGCAGGTCTGGTGACTTGTGGACAATATGATTTTTACCTGGGCCAAACTAAACCTTGGAGCAAGGCATTATGGGAAAAGGTATTAAGAATCTGAGAGCAAAATGTCTCAAACGCTGATGTCACAGTGACGAGTCATGGCTACGTGGAGAGATTTCTCCTTGAACAGAATCCTGTTGCCTAAATGCCCTGCAAGCAGCTGGCTTGGTAACTGTTTCAACCAATTTCTTCCTGTTCTGAGACAAACCACAGGGGAACTGTAAGATCTGATATCCTCGTGCGCCTACGAAACAAACACACGCACAGCATTCATGCATTTATTCAGAATCGAAATATTTATTAATCTCCTCAGTGCCAGATGCTAAGCTGGCGACTGGGACAGATACATCAACAAAACAGATGGAACACCATCTCTCAGGAAGTCTGTTTCACCCAGAATAAAACAATAAACATGATAAATAAAGAAGTTATTCAGCAGGTTACAATTTGGTAGGTGTGATGTAAAGGAGAAAAATAAAGCACAGAAGTAGGAACGCCAGTTCAGGAGGCATGGTCAAACTTCTCTGCTTTGTTTTTTGAGTCATGGTTTCACTACATAGTCCAGGCTGACTGAACTCCAGGCGATTCTCCTGCCTCAGCCTACCTCGTGCTGGGATTACAGACGTGCACCACCTTGCCTGGCTGGTCAGATGTTTTAAAGGAACTCTGGTGGATGTCATGACGAAGGTGACTTGGGGACAAACACTTTAGCAGGCGAGCAGGTGCACGTGTGACGAAGGGTAGATAACTCACCTACGCCATCTAGAGCGTGTGTTTGAACACAGACATGAAGGTCAGTCTAGGTCTGAGACCTACAGAGCTGGGTCCAGATGCAGGACCAGGCCCTGTCCACTGCCACCCAGCACCTGGCCAGCTGCTCCCCACTCGGCTGCGCTTCCTGCTGCTCCCCGGCCTCCTTTGGGTCCTCGTTTCAAGGCCTCCCTGGAGGCTCCTCCCACCCCAGCCGGCAGCCCTGTCCCACACTCTGGGCCAGCTGACCTCGTCCCCAGGGGTTCCGTCTGTCTCTCTGCCCAGCAGAATAGTTCCAGAGGGTGCTGTCACTCCCAACACTGCCCTGGCTCCAGGACTTAGAACAAGAGCACTAACCACTCCGGAAACTCGGGTCCAAGTGGGGAGCAGGGCTGAAGAGGCCTGGAGGTTGGAAACAACCTGGGGGAGGAGAGGAGGTGACAAACCAGGGCAGGCCCCGTCGTGTGGGGCTGGGGCCATGGTAAGAGGTTACGTTTTATCCTCTTAGTAACAGGAGGCCCTGGGAGTATGGGAAAACCAGGAGCAGGTTTTTATTTTTAAGATAGCACTTCGCACCGGGCATGGTGGCACAGCCTGTAATTCCAGCACTCGAGAGGCTGAGGCAGGAGATCACTGTGAGTTTGAGGATAGCCTGGGCTACACAGTGAGACACTGCCTCAAAAATAAGTAAATAAACAGAACATCGCTTTTGACGTTGGATGGAGTGATGAAATCTGGATGAGGTTATAGACTCAGGAAAGCATGAAGTAAGAGATAACTCTCATATTACTGGGTCCAACTAAGAGAAAAACTACTGCACCTCACAAGCTGAGATGGCAGCAGACAGGCACAGCTGGAAAGCGCACACTGTTCCGAGGGGCAGAGCTTTACACAGAAAGCTGCAGAAGCTTCCTTCAGCTTGGCCTTCCCCCGTCACCGCCTCATCGGGAGGTGCAGTCACCATGTTTCCACAGGAAAGCGACCACTAGTAAAGAAGTGTGGCACCTCCTATGTACCACTGTGCCCATGAGTTCATCGGCAGTCACCCCAAGCGGGCTGTAGATAACTTCAGAAAAGGGGTCAGGTGATGATTCAAGGGCTAGCAGTCACGTGCCAGACACTGGTCACTCCCAAGACAGCATCTTGGAATTTCATATGGAGTATGAGAATTCATAAAAACGTTCACTCTCCAGACAGACAGAGGATCTGATGGGTATGATAAACATGAAAGCCAGTGCCTCCCCGGGGCCCCAAACCCCACACTTTGGATCCGACCTGGCAGACTGAGTTCTGCTCACTAAAGAGCCTGCAGAGCTGCTGCTTCTGTGGGTGACAAAGCACGAATGGGGAACAGACAGGCATGGAAGGGAGAAAAGCAGGCAGGAAGCAGAACCCCCCAACAGGAACACGCCATACCATCCTTCAGCCTTGACTTTCCTTATTGTTACCGTTTAAAAATTATAAACTCATGACGGTGAATAATAAAGCTACAGTTATCTAACTCAGTTCACAAGGAGTTTGGAAAAAAGTGAATTACTTAGAAGATCCATCTGGGCCGGGGATTTAGCTCAGTGGTTCTGTCGCCTGCCTCGCAAGCACAAGTGCAAGGTCCTGAGTTTGATCCCTGGTACCAAAAAAAAAAAAAAAAAAAGATCCTTTAGTTAGAGCTTTAAAAATTTACCATCTATGAGAGAGTGCATGAAAGTACAATTAAAGGGGAGACTACACAAAAAGCCTTGCGGTAGAATTTTTCATCGACACAACAGCCAAACCAAGAAAAACAAATGTGCTCAAAATGCCAAACGTGAACGTCCTACGAGCCTGACTCCGGGAAACTGAGTACAGACATAAATACGGCGTGAAACAAAATTTACTGATACACTAAAACCACACATTAAAAAATTTAAAATTTATAAATCTCTCCAACTGACATGTCCTTGGAACCAATTTAAATTCAAGTAGTTCACAGGATTTACAAGGCAATTTTTTCAGAAGACAGGAGAGTTTGACCATCATAACCACAATGATACCTGAGGAAGGGCGCCGTAATTCCATATGTAACCCTTGTGAGGAAAGACGTTGGCCACATAGCGTGGCTTGCCGTGCTTCATGTCCTGCTTAATGGGGTTCAGAGGCTCCTCCGTGGCGATCTAAGCAGGTCACAGGGGGGAAAAGGGGAAAGCGAAAGGGAGACGGGAAATGGTTAATTCTACATCCAAGTGGTATTTTTAAAATCTGCCATTTTTAGAGGAAATATTCACAGTTCAACTTAATGATCAAAGGTGCTTTAAAATAAATTAAGCCAGCTCTTATTACTAATTTATAGCACTGTGTAGGAAAAATCATCTGGAAAGGAAACATCCGGTTATATATTTAGGCACGATATTATTTAGGCACTTCATTATTTCTAACAAATAATAAAATGACTGAAGTAGCAAGAGGATAAAGATTAATCAACTGCATTTTGGTTATTAATCTTGGGTTTTTTATTATCCAGAATCTTTGATAATGTTGACGGAAAGATTTTCACCATTCTCTAAGTGGTGAAAGACTGAAATCTTTCCTGTTGGATCTGAAGCAAATCAAGGAGGTGCCCTCCTGCTGCCTTTATCCAGCAGGATCTTGGCCACCCACCCCACCCCACCCCCGCCACAGCAATTAAGCAGGAGAAAGAAATAAGAGGAATGCAAACAGGAAAGGAAAAAACATAATCGCTACTGTTTGCTGATAACACAATCATACACAGAATAAATAAATACAGTAAAGTTGCAGGACAGAAAATCAACACACAAAAATCAGTAGCATTTCTATACCCTAACAACAAAGTATCTAAACAAGAAATCAAGAGAACAATTCCATTTACAGTAATGACAATAACAACTTTAAAATACTCGGAATAAATCTACTCAAAGAAGAGAAAGACCTGTACACTGCAAACTATAAAATATCGATGAAAGATATTAGAGACAGTAATGAGTGGACGGATCTGCCACACTCGTGTTCAAGTGTGCACACTACTCCAAGTTCTGTGAACCGAGTTCAACACAAAACTTATCAAAACTCCAAAGTCATGTTTTAAAAATGGAAGTAAAAAAACAATCCTAAAGGTCATATGGAACCACAAATAAACCCTGAATAGACAAGGCAACAAAATATGATTTCAAATCAACTACAAAACAGCACGAAACTCAGCATGCCTGCCTCACAAGCGCAAGGTCCTGAGTTTGTTCCACGGTGCCGGAGGGAAGAAAAAAAACAGCATGGGACCAACAAGAAATTCGGGCACTCTGAGTGACAAGCCCAGAAACAAGCCAGCCATGTGCGGTCAACTGACTTTTAACAAAGGCAACAGGGGCGGGAGGAGCCACTAAGCTAAATCCCCAGCCCTGGCAAGCTTTTGTCACAAAGAAATTACCAATATATAAGGAAACAGACGTTCACTTGATCTCAACATTACAGAATGGATATGATGTGTCAAAGTATCACAGACACTCCATGACTCTCTGCAATTTTAGGTTTACATGTATCAGTTAAAATAAATTTAATTTAAAAAAAAATTTTTTTTTTGTGGTACCAGGGATCAAACCCAGGACCTTCCTGCCTTGAGAGGCAGGCACAGTGCCACTGAGCTAAATCTCCGGCCCTAATTTAAATTTTTAAAAAAGAAGTAGAGTACAATGGTGGTTATAGAAGTGAGGGTGACTCTGGTCAAAAGACACAAAATCTGTGACAGGAGGGCATGGTTTTGTTTCCTTTGCTTTTGTTTTTGACACCAATTGCATGGTGAATATGGTCAATAATGTATTGCACATTTCAAAACTGCTGAGAGGGTGAAATCTCAAATGTCCTCACCACAAAAAATAAGAATTTGAGATGATATGTATGTTGTTGTTTTTTTTCTTTTTTCTTTTTTTTTCTTTTTAATCTATTCTTTTTTTTTTTTTTTCGGTACTAGGAATTGAACTCAGGACCTTGTGCTTTCGAGGCAGGTGGTGGAACCACTGAGCTAAATCCCCGATGCAAGATGCTATGTATGTTACTCAGCTTGACTTACCTCTCCTACACTGTATTCATAAATCACAGTATCATTTTTGACTCCTTAAATATATAAATTGTCTTTTTACAATAAAAAATTTTCTAGATCATTAAAAACACCCCAGTGATTTCATCTTACTAAGTGATTTCATTTCAAAATTACTTTTCCATCAAACATATTCACATTGACATTCAAAGAGGGGGAAAAAATCTATGGTTTAAAATAAACAAAAACTATGCTGCTTACCACAGGCAGACTCCAGGCCCTTGGTTCTGTACTTAACGGAGGTGGGCAGAGGGTGAGGGATGCAACGTTACAACTTATGACCGAGAGAAGCATCCAATGCCTGTAACTTCCTTTAAAACCTTAACACAAACACTACCAGGGGGTGGTAAGAGTCCCACTAGCTTCCCAAATATAAACCGTGAAGGTTGTACTCCTACATAAAAATGCCTCATGCACACACTTAAAATAATGCTGGCCATCACTCCCTATACTGCAGAAAGCTCAACTACCCACAGAAACGAAGGGAGGCACATGAAATTCCACTCAGAAGTGCAGGAGAACTCAGCCACACGAAGAGAGAACAATCAGACCTGAAAAAGCAAAGAGGCTCTTCTGGATAGATAGGTTCGTGTTCCACGGAAAAGTGTAAAACTGAAACAATTTCTTTTAAAAACCTGACCAGGGGAGCAGCAGGTGTTCTTAGTGTTCAGAAACTGAGTTAGCAACATGCTTTTATTTCAGGCAGAATAAAATCTCAGGAATTAAGTCCTCAGAAATTAAAACTGCCATCAGCCTCAAATAAACACTTGTGTCTATGAACCGAATATACCTCAGAATCTTCTTGCAGTAAGCCTTGAAAATATCTGCCATCTTGGCAAAAAAAGGCAGAGAATGAGAAGTAAATAAATATGTGTACAACAAACTAGACAGGCAGAGCTGAGAAACACTCCCTTTAAAGTATATACAAAGCTCTTTTCTTTTTGAAATTAAAGTTCCCAAGAATAATTTTCAATTATTTTCATTATAAAGAAGTTTATCGGGAGGTCCTGGGTCATGGGGAAGACACCGAATCACCCCGCTGCAGACAGGC